CCCCCCCCCCTGGGCTCTCTCGTAGCCAGCAAAGGATCCCGGCAGGTGCTGCCCAGGGAGGGTGCTGCGAGACCCAGGGACTCTGCAAAGAATCAGCTTTTTTTTCTTGCAGGCAGGGCAAAAAAGTTGTTTGGGGGCAGCCCAAGCCACATTTTCCATAGGAAACAACCCTCTACAGAAAAAAAAACAACCTCTTTCTTTGCAGCTTCTGGGCTTCTGCCCCGTTTCTAAGCAAATTTTTGGCTTATTTTGGCTTGGTGCTTTTCTCCCCCTTGGAAGAGAAATTAAACTCGGGCAGGTGATGAGATGCGGTTTAGAGATTAAAGGGAAACAGGAAGGAATTTGTACCGAAGGTGTCAAAACTTTCGCGGTGCTCGTGGGTCCCGGGTGTGCGGTGTTCAAATGCCATCTAGTGGCACTGGGCACGGGGTGGGAAATGGGGCGACGAGGGGTTTTGGGGTGTCTATGGTGGGCTGGGCAAGGCCGAGGGTCCCATGGGGTCACCGGGGGCACTTGGCTCATCCGGCTTTGCAACCGGAGAGCATCCGCAGGCAGCCTTCAGAGGGGAATATTAACAGCTGAATATGAAGTGCTGTTAACAACGAGGCGAGGCGGGAGCGGCCATGTGCAGGGTGTGAAACCCGTCACCCAAAGGGACCTGGGGACGTGGGACAGGGGTCAGAGCAGAGCGGTGGTCCGTAGGGAAGCCCTTAGCATCGCCCGGAGCCGGGGATGCTGCCATCCCCTGCACAGGCTCCCCGTGCGCAGCTCATGCAAACCAGCCCAAATCCTGCTTTTCTGTCACCAAGATGACATTTTTTGGGTGGAAAAAGGCTCATCCAGGGAGGGTAACCCTAAACTAGGTCAGGCGGCATCCCTCTGCCCACGCCAGGCTGGAGTGAGTGGCCCCGCCATGCTGGGGGCCATGCTGGGGACCCCACCCAGCGTGGGGGGAGCCGTGCACCCCCAAAAGGTGCCCGGGGTCCTATTGACCCCCTGTGCCCTGCTGCGCTCCCGTAGGGCCCCCTTTTCCTGGGATTACCGCCTTGCCAGCTGCTCTCCTGGCAGGCCTGGCCGGCAGCCCCTGAAATCCTATTACTGAGTTTCAGGAGAAATAAAAAGTTAATCATCTCCTTCGCCTGCTCTTCCTCCTCCTCCGACTGCCGTGGGGGCTCGCGGAGGCGGCTGAGCTGATGCCGCTCGGCCGCTCGGACCGTTGCCACGGTGGCTGAGCCCATGGATCTGGCCCCGGGCTGGTAGGGGCTGCAGGCGCGGGGCGGGGGGGGCCG